CCTCCTATAACGCGATTTCCGTCCCCCATATAACGCGTTATACATTTCTGTAGTGTGAAATTTATAATGATGTGTAGAAAATATGTATAAAAACGCTATCACTCAAAGATTCTTAGAAACCAATTAAATGATAGTGGTCAGCCAACCTGACGTCAGAAGTGCCGGCCACTTTATTTCTTTATTATGTTCTTTAATGCAGAGGTAGCAAATGCGTCTCTGAAGGTAGCAAATAGTATCAAATAGGTAGAGAAATATGGCGTATAGTTTGATTGCGATATCAAATTTGGTCAGCCAACCTGACGTGTGAAGTCCATAATTAGTTTTGCGAACCTTTCTGATTCAATTGTTTTGTTATAACATTGAACTAAATAACTTTATAAAATTCGTGTTCCTAGTATTTGAATTGTTTACAAAAACGGTTTTACGAGAATACTCATACAACGCGATTTCCTATAACGCGGTCCGGGTCTATCGCGTTATAGGAGGGATTACTGTATAATATGGGAAATTTAGTGCGTTTTCCAATTACAGCTCTAGAGCGCATTTTGCGGCATAATGCTCAACGTTGAGTGTTCCAACTACAGCAACGCTTCGCACAATTGAGCACTCTCAAAACGAATGCTCTCGCAAACAATACCAACACAGTGACAGAAAATTGACCAGTATTTTTCTTTAAGTTGGCATTTATCGAAATTTTCGTTAGTAAATAAATATTATTTATTGTTGAAAAATTTGTAAGGCTTTCGTTTCGTCGTAGATTTTGAAAATAATTAAAGTTATTTCAAACTGCTAAAAAAAAAATATTAGTATGGATGTAGGTATAAATAGTTACTTTTTTATATTCTACATTTAAAATATGAATACAATTTTATTTTAAAATTCGGATCTGTAAACAAATTTACTTTACAGGATTATACTTTAGAAAAAATTGCAATGGTTTTAAAAAAGTATATACATTTTTTAGAAATCATTAAAAAATATTACTCAAAACGTAAATGATGTAAACTTCTTACATGAAACTAAATATTTTACTGTTAATTTAGCTTGTTAAAACCTTATATTCTTTAAAGGTTTTCTCTTATTTCAGTAAAAAAAATTTAATGAAATAATTTGATTATTAAATTAAGCGTAAAAAGTTTTCAACCAATTATTATTGTTTACCACATTATTTATACATTAATGAGGTTGCTAACTCTATTCAGACCATTTTTTTGTCAACACTGACTTAGCGCACTCTGCTGATGCATTTGAAAACTAATTCACGTTCCAATTAAGCTTCAGCATTATGCGGCACTGAGTCGCAAAATGCTCTGTAATTGGAAAACGCACTACTAACACATTGCACAGAATATAGTACTATTTTACTTTTATTTTTTAATTTTAGTGATCCAAACAGAGACAAAAGCCTTTGCACGAACAATACGTTCGATTTTAGGTTTTTTAGCTATCTAATTATTCCTATATCCCAAGTACCGTAGTAATCGTAAATCGTAATTATAAGTATATATCAAAAACAGCCTTTTGTATTTACACCTTCATTTGAACATTTCATTTTTGAGGACATTTAGAATTAAATAACAATTAAGGTTTTTGTTTAATTTATTGATCTGCGTTTTTCAGTAAAGTTAATAAGTTAAATAAAATAGTCGAGATGACAAGTCAGTGAAGGTTTTTTAAATGATCTACTTCCATATCTTTGCCTCCAATGTTTAATATAAACATTTTAAACTTTGCAGTTACATCGTAACTATGTACAAAATTTCTTATCTTATAGCACTAAAAGCAACTTCCATTATAAGTCACTCGCATTCCTGACGTCAGACGTTCCGATTGGTTACCGCTAGAGGTCGCGAGCGGAGTCCGTTACTGCAGAGTTCTGTCACTTGAGTCGGAGTTTTCCCTCGGGTTTCTGGGAAGTACAATCTGGAAAACAAAAGATTAAGTAAAATTAGCAGACAAGAACCGAAAGACTTGCAGGCTCCTAGATTAGAGACCTCGGCAGAACAAAAGACCGCACGGTCGTTACTTGACTTCAAAAAATATCAATTCAAACAGCAATGCAATAATAAATAATTTAATTATAGGCCTACATATTCCAAGTCTTTGACAAGACAAAACAGACTTGACAATAAATATAGACTCTGTGTGTAAATCTAAACATTCAAAACCACTTGAACAGGCACAAAAAATTTAATCAAAATCGGTTCAGCCGTTTCGGTTTCATTACATACACACAAATAAATAGTAATCCAAGTTTTCAAAACATACTTATGGAAGACAGTTAAAGCAGCCGTCAACGCTGAGAACACCAGGAAGGAATAGGCACCGATATAATCCCGCATGGTTTGGAAAAACTGCCCCACCAGGAAATTGCCCCCCCAATTGGCCAACGACCCCCATGCCATACCAGCACCGCGGGGGGCTATTTCGAATATCTCTGAAAAATATTTAAAAAAATGCTAAAATCTGGAACAAGGCAGGGACATCTTTGAGGCCGTTGATATAAGATGTTCCTATCCAGAAGATCGTAGAAAACTATCCCCGCTTGCTCTCGCAGCTTAATAGTTTTCTCGAACTTTCGCCGGATAGCGACCCATTTGTGAAGCGTGTATAATACATTACTATTTAAAAACATACTTAGAAAAAATTATGTAGAGAAAAAGGTTGTATTTGTATAATTTTTCTTAATAGGCAATAGCGCAGTTTTTGTGTCTACATTCACTCTGCATTTCCGAATGACATTTATCATTTACATTATCTTCTTACAAAAAATACTTGCACTCAAATATCTACACATACTACACCATGATACCCCCACTATGTCATTAAATATTAAGGTTCTAGGGTACGAATTATAATTTTTAATCTGTTAATTCTGATTTAAAAAAAAAAGGTAAAATAAGAATAACATTATAAAGTGAAACTTAGACTAGAAAAGATAGCTAATTTATTTCTCTGTATTTAAGAAATTAGTTGAGTCAAAACATGTGGAATGGAGTTGGAATACTGGTCGATATTTCAAATAAGTACCTATATAAAATTTGCTACTGACCTGAAGCAATAAAATAGGGTATGGGCCCAAGACCGAATCCGTACACGAGCACGTACGAAAGTACGGCTATCATCGCAGCGTACGGCATCCATGACACTGCGTCCTTAAATAAAAAAAAAACAAATTTTACCCAGAACAAAGAAAGTTGACTTAGGCCCGAGTTATGTAAATAAATAATTCAGTGTCGGGACCCCATTTTAGGTCTGGGCCTCAGATTTCTGTATATGTTTATGATCATTTGTCAATCTAATAGGCAAGTAGGTGATCAGCCTCCTGTGCTTGACACACGCCGTCGACTCTTTGGGTCGGTTAAGGTAAGCCGGTTTCCTCACGATGTTTTCCTTCACCGTTCAAGCGAAAGTTAAATGCGCTAATAGACAGAAAGTCCATTGATGCACAGCCGGGAACCGAACCTTCAACCTCAGGGATGAGAGTCGCCAATGAACCCACTAGGCCAACACTGCTCTGGCCGGGTTATGTACAAATTTAAAATACGCATCGTAAGTGCGACGCAATGCCTAGTACTTAAGCTCTTTTAAAAAGTCATCAAAATAAGTACAGCGTATTAATTTTTAATGTAAGTGAAACAAAAATCAACTTACAATAAACCTCATTGCAGCAGCCAACAAAGCCAAAATAATCGTCGCTCCAAACATAGATCCAAGTAACAAAGGCCGCCTGCCCGTCCGCGGTAGTAGGTAGACCATTATCACAGCCGTGCATACATTTATAGCCCCGCAACCGATTGTCGCGAACTGCGCGTTCTCCCGTGACAGACCCGCTTGTCTGAATATCGTTTGTGAGTAGTAGAACACCTAAAAACCATTGTTCATAAAAAGTAAGTGTTACACTGTTTTCACTAAAGTATTGTCTCTTCTTGTAATTCTGTTTGATTGTTGATGAGAAAAAACTAGATAAGTAGTTTCACTTTAAAGTCTCATGTCATTTTTGGAACGGAAAATATTTTTTGTTTTCTATAAGTTCCCTCGTTGTGATAAAAAAAACTATTTAGTATTCACCATTTATAAAGTTGTATTATATGAAAAATCATATTTATAATAAAAAAAATAATGTGGTCTTGTGTTTGGGAGGGTAGTTGATAAAACAACGGGTCGTACGGTAATTGTCGTGTGTGAGATGGTTCAGTAATACGAATTATTTTATTTATCGATACCACGGATCTTCACTTGCTACGGTCCTGACAAACCTCTCGCTTCATTCACTTTCATGATATTCACCATGCATGCGATTATGGGTACTTTTAATTTGTCTATTCTGGATTTGGTCCAGGTATGTACAAGGAGTACCCAAGCCGACTCCACCATCCACGTTGCTGGCTACATCCTACATGGCCAAACCTATACTCTGATTTTTAATTCCGTAGAATTCTGACAGCTATCATTTTTTGACATGTCAGTGATGACAAACCTTTTCGCCCGGGCACATTTCTCGGAACATCTGTTAGTTAATGTACCCATTGTATTAAGTGCATTGCTCCAAATTAAAAGTGACTTAACGGTGAGTGGTAATTACGTTCCTTTTCATCACAAACAGTAAAAAACGCACAAGTTATGATAAAAAATTTTTTTTAAAAAGGTTTACTAAACCTGGAATTAGTAGGCAGTGATGCCAGCTAAATTATAAAATAAAGTAATTAAAGTTAATTCGATATATTGTTCGTGATATTGAAATATTTGTTCTTTTGTATTAGGTCACTTGAGTAACTAAATATTTAGATTTACCTTTTTGTAGGTAAAACATTAAAAATACGTAGCATTTTTTTATTGCCCTCAAATAAGTCAAATTTGTCCCTTTTTCGGTGGAGAACGTTTTTAGTAGCAACACTTATGAAATGTCAGAATTATACGGAATTAATAATCACAGTATAACTATTTTTGTGACATATGTTCCCATTTCTAACACCTTACCGCATTAATCCCGCTAGTCT